ATGCTGATGATGATGATGATGATGATGATGATGATGATGATGATGATGATGATGATGATGATGATGATGATGGAGCAGTGTTTGAGGATGTCTCGGGCGAGGCGCTGGTTTCAGCACACCGCAGGGGGGGCGCCAGGGGTTAGGTCTCGAGCGGTTGGCCTGTTTGCGTGCCAGGCATCCTCCGCTTTCGGAGCAGATTAAGAGGATGTCTCGGGCGGGAGGTTTGTTTCCGCACCCCAGATTACGAGGATGCTTCGGGCGGTTTGATTTTTTGGGTGGCCAAATTGGTTTGCGTACAGAGCAAATTCTGAGGATGTCTCCGGTGAGGCCTTGGTTTTCGCACCCAGGTGGTTCAGATTGCGAAGATGTCTCGATGGTGATGATGATGATGACGGAACATATTGCGATGATGTCTCGAGAGGCGGTGGTGATGATGATGATGATGGTGGTGGTGATGATGAAGATGATGATGGTGATCATGGTGGTGGTGGTGATGATGACGATGACGATGACGACGATGATGCTGATGACGATGACGATTGTAGCTCAGACGATCGACGAGCATGACGAGGATAATCAAGATGCGCTAGACCCACTCCCTGTCTCTTAATACTCCAGCCCGTCTGTGTTCGAAGTCTCTTGCGGCTAGGCACTCGCGGCGGAAAAGGTCTATGCACATAGGTGCACAGATGGGGAGCTCCACGCAATGAATAATTACTTGCACGGCTCCAGAAGCACTCCTCCTCCTCCTCCTCTTCCTCACCTTCTTCTCTTCCTCCTTTTACCCAACCAGAATAGCTCACTCACATTCCGACGCACTTCTACTCAGTCATATTCGGACTCGCCCACCTTCAGACGCACTCACACTCAGACTCGCTCATGCTGTGGCTCACTTGCCCTCGTACCCATTTGCAGTCAGGCTTGCCCACATTCAGATTCACTCGTTTTCAGATTCAATACGCTCAGACTTGCTCACATTCATACTCGCTCACACGTGACTCGACTCACTCACCCTCGGACTCACTCCCATCCAGACCAGCTCACATTCAGACGCCTCTCATACTCGGATCCAGACTTCACTCATACTCATTGGTTACCCAATGCTCACCGCGATAAAGCAGGCGTAGCACTCGGGCACCCCGAGGAGGGGGCACCAGGGGCGGCTCCAGGATTCGCGCCCAGAACGGGGGGATGTCTCAAGCGGTCTGCCTTTCTGCGTGCCCAGCATTTTCTGTTTTCGGAGCAAATAGCGAGGATGTCTGAGGCGAGGCGCTGGTTTCAGCACGCCTGGGAGGAGGGGGCGCCGTCATTCCAGGGTTCGCGCCAGGATTGGGGGGGACGTCTCAAGCGGTTTGCTTGTTTGTGTGCCCGACTCCCTGTGCTGTTGGAGCAGATTGCGAGGATGTCTCAGGCGAGGCGTTGGTTTCAGCACTCTGGGGGGGGGGCGGGGCATTGACATTCCAGCGTTCGCGCCCAGATTGGGGGAATGTCTTAAGCGGTTTTCTTGTTTGGGTGCCCAACGTCTTTTGCTTCCGGAACAGATTGAGAGGATGCTTCAGGCGAGGCGCTGGTTTCAGCACTCCCGGGGGGGGGCGCCAGGGGCGGGTACATTCCAGGGTTCGCGCAAAGCTTGGGGGATGTCTCAGGCGGTTTGTCTGTTTGCGTGCTCAGCATCCTCTGCTGTCGGAGCAGATTGCGAGGATGTTCCAGGCGGTTTGCGCTTCTGCCCCCCAGACTTGTTCATTTTGGTCGTTCAATGGTAACCGCGATATAGCAGGCGCGGCACTTGGGCACCCCAAGGGGGAGCCGCCAGGGGTGGGGACGTTCCAGGGCTCGCGACAAGATTGTGGGGATGTCTCAGGCGGTTTGCCTGTTGCTGTCCCCCACGTCTATTTCTCTGTGTGGTCCAATGCCCGCCACGACATAGCAGGCGTGCCACTTGGGCACCCCCAGGGGGGAGCCGCCAAGAGTGGGGACAGCCTAGGGCTCGCGCCAAATCCCCCTGATGTGTTCATTTGTTGTGGTCCATTGCTTACCACGACATAGCAGGCGTAGCATTCGGGTACCCCAAGGGGGAACCGCCAGAGGTGGGGGCACTTTTGGATTTTCGCTCAAATGGGGGGAGTGTCTCATGCGTTCTGCCTGTGTCTGCCCCCCCAGATGTTTCTCGTTTTGTGGCCCAATGCTCACCGTGATTTATCAGGCGTGGCACTTGGCGGCCCCAAAGTGGGTTCGTGCTCAGATCGGGAGGACGTCTCAGGTGGTTTGTTTGCTTTTGTTGGATTTGTGTGCTCCTCATTCACTCACTCATTTACCTCCTTTCCATTTCCCCCATTCGGACGCACTCATTCGCACTCGATCGGGTTTACTCATCAGCATGTCTTCCTCACTCAGACTGCTCATCACATTCAGACTCGCTCATTTTCATAACCGATCATATTCAGGCGCACAGTGTGTATTCGCTCATCTTCATATTCGCTCAAACTCAGACTCACCCACACCCAGACCAACTCACACTCGGACTCATTCACACTTATAGTCGCCAGCTCTCAGACTCACTCATGCGCAGACTACCTCGCACCCAGGCTCACTCATATTCAGATTCGCATTCGTCAAACTTAAGTCAGAGTCACCCGAACCCCGAGCCACTTGCAGTCATCATACCCGCTCGTACACTCGCTCGCACCCAGACGCAGTCGTATCCAGACCCGCTCGTATAATCGTTGGCCATATGCAGAACCTCCCACAGTCAGGCTCGATCATACCCGTGCCCACCCGCACTCCGACTCCCTCGCGCGCTCAGATCACCCGCGCTACAGTCAACGCGCCTAGTAAGGACGCGTGCCTTCATCTAGGGTGCCCTTGAGTCCTTGCCTCTGCGGCCCGGCCCGTCCTTCGCCGTTTTCACTGGCCGCTCCCCGCCCCCAAAATCCAATTTCGGCCTCCAAGGGTCTTGCATCCTTACCACCCGTCCTTAATAAACGTTTTGACTGTAACGCTCACGCACGCAGATGGCTACCGCGATACAGCCGGCGTGGCACCTGGGCACCCCAGATGCCAGCAGGCGCCGCGAGTAAGCAGCACGCCAGAGAGTTGGCGTAGCAACGCCATATGCGCGTTTGCCTGGGTTGCCGAGGGGAGGACGGCACGGTAGAGTCCCCTCTCGCTCTTCCAGCTGAGTTTCTTTCGTCTCTCCTGAAAGATGCCCAAAGGAGAGGAGGAGGAGGAGGAGGAGGAGGAGAAGGAGGAGGAGAAGGAGGAGGAGGAGGAGGAGGAGGAGAAGGAGGAGGAGGACGAGAACGTCACTGAAGTCATTGTCGTCGTCGTCATTCCCTACCTAGGCTCTGCCTAGAAGGGTTCTTACTCTCTAGCTTAAAGGGGCCGGGCAGTGGAAAGCGCCCCGGGCGGTTCCCCCAGTCCCCGCCCCGCGGTTCCCCCAGTCGCGCCCCCTTAGCTTGGCTTAGTTTATCTCGTCTTAGCTTAGCTTGGCTTAGCTTAGCTTGGCTTAGCTTAGCTTAGCTTGGCTTACCTTAGCTTAGCTTGGCTTAGCCTAGCTCAGCTTAGCCTAATGTAGCTTAGCTTAGCGTATCATAGCATGGCATGACATAGCATAGCACAGCATAGCATACCATAGCACAGTATTGCATAGCATAGCTCAGCATAGCTTAGCATAGCGCCCCCTTAGCTTGGCTTAGCTTATCTCGTCTTAGCTTAGCTTGGCTTAGCTTAGCTCGGCTTAGCTTAGCTTAGCTTGGCTTACCTTAGCTTAGCTTAGCTGAGCTTAGCTTAGCCTAATGTAGCTTAGCTTAGCGTAGCATAGCATAGCATGGCATAACATAGCACAGCATAGCATACCATAGCACAGTATTGCATAGCATAGCTTAGCATAGCATATATTAGCATAGCACGGCGCATCATAGCACAGCATAGCATATTATAGCATCGCATAGCATAGCATAGCATAGCGCAGCATAGCATATCATAACATGGCCTGGCATAGTCTTAGCTTTCGCTTAGCTTTCGCTTAGCTTTAGCTTAGCTTTAGCTCAGCGTTAGCTTAGCTTTAGCTTAGCTTTAGCTTAGCGTTAGCTTAGCGTTAGCTTAGCTTCACCTTAGCTGTAGCTTAGCTTTAGCTTAGTTTTAGCTTAATGTTAGCTTAGCTGTAGCTTAGATTTAGCTTAAAGATAGCTTAGCTGTAGCTTAGCGTTAGCTTAGCTTTAGTTTAGCTTTAGCTTAGCGTTAGCTTAGCTTTAGCTTAGCTCTAGCTTAGTTTTAGCTTAGCTTTAGCTTAGCTTTACTGCTACTACGAATGCTGCTTTCCTAGGGGCTCCAACTCCTAGGTAGGGTCGCACTGGGATAATTGCCGCGCCTGTCGTCTACGCGGGCTCGCTCTCCCACTCAGATGCTCGTGGACAGACTCCCTCAGCGAAACATGCCAGGAGTATGAGATGCACATGGGGATCTCCGCGTCGAGTTGTAACTTGGACGCCTTCGGGCCTTCCCTCACTCACTGCTCATTTCCCTCATTCAGAAACCCACGTATTCATGCGTAGACCAGTCACGTTCAACGCATGCTCACATCACTCATTTCCCCCCGCACTCACATCGCACCTAAAATAATTCATTCTCAGACTCGTACTCAGAGTCGCCCTCCTTCACTCAGACTCACCCTCAACATGTATCACATTCAGACTCGCTCATACTCGGAATCGCTCGAATCCAGATTCGTGCGCATTCGGAAACAAGTTTCATCACACGCACACACACATTCAGTCAAGGCTCAGTCATAGCATGATCCCACTCTATTCAGATCTTTAACGAGGCGGAACCGCCAGGGGTCAGGACACTCCTGGGATCCACGCCCACACTTTGGGGATCTGCCGCTGCCCGCGCCGCCTCCCGAGCGGCCCACGGCGGCACCACACTCGTGATCTCCAGGGGAGACCCGGCCGCAGCCATGCCGGCTCGGGGCCCCCCCGCGCGGCTCGCCGCGGGCGGCGATGCAGGTGCTGGCATCGCTCGGACGTGCGTATTTTTTTCTCGGCGAGGATCATCGAGCGAAAAAAACACGCACGGAACCGAACAATGCACGGGAAATGGACGTCCGAGCGACGGCAAGAGGTGCTGCAGCCGCCCGCGTGGAGCGCCGCGGCAGGACGCGGGGGCTGCGCGGCGCAGCCGGGAGTCGGAGGCACCGCCCTGCTCGGAGGGCGCCAGCGTTGCCACGACCAAGAGATCCGAGGCTCCGGAAAAAAATCGTGCGCGGCCGGCTTGGGGGTCGCGTTCGGCCCCCGGGGGCCTTGCGCGGCCCCCGGGATCGCCAAGAAACGGCTCGGGACGAAGAGCCGGCCCTGGGGAAGTGGTCCGGACCTCCGGGGCCCACGCAACGAAACAAAGAGGAGCGCAGCACGTTTGGGGGCATACTGGCGTCGTGGGGTTAGATAGTAAGTCACTTGGCATCGCTCGGACGTGTGTCTCACCACAAAAGAAAAGCACTAAATCGACAAATACACGGGGAATGGACGTCCGAGCGATGGCGAAATCACGGAAGTTTCCGCTCGTCGTGCACAGTATGCACGTCGGCGAGTAACACGACACGCAATAGCGCGCGCAGCGCGGCCTAACAGCGTCCCAGTAGCGCCCAAGGACGCCCCGTGAGGGAGATGCATCACGTCCATCTTGCGCGATATAGGATGCGCAATTGAGCGCCCAGGGGACGACCAAAATCTTTCGTGAGTTGCTGTCTAGGAGAAGAAACCACGACGGGAGATTTTTGCTGGTTTCGGCCTCCGGGGGTCATCAGCGGGCCCCAGGGCCGTCAAAAATGACCCAGGATGAGAAGCCAGGGGACGAGGTTGCGGCTCTTGGGGATTCGGTATCGAAAATGTCTTGGGCGTCGCGTAGTGTGGGGGCGATACAGGGGGGGGGGAGCGGCGAGGGCTGCAGAAAAGGTGCCCTTCAGGGCCCCTAAGGGAGCTTCAGAGCCCAAAAGGAGGGATGTAGGACCCGAAAAGTGCACCTTCTCTCCCCCCCCTCATTGATCGCCCCGCCATTTAGCGACGCCCAGAAGTCAGGACATTGGACGGCTGGGTGTTCACTGAAGTTCACCAAGCCGAACCTGGCCAGGCTCCTCCTGGGCACAGGGCGAGCGCATAGTTATGCGCCCTCCTGGCCACTGGTGCACGTGCGCTCGTGGCCAAGCCGGGGGGGCGTGCGCGTTCATCCCGTCGGGGCTCAAGAGACGAGTGTCAATGCAAACGGGGATCAGCCAGAGCGCCAGATCTTGCAGGATCCTGCAGAGCCAGGGTCGCATTGACTCGGGCTTGGGCGCAGGATCCTGCAGGATCCCACGAAGCCTGACTGACCCGGGTCTGGATTGACCCAGGTCAGTAAATCCCTGATCTTGTGCCCAGGATGGGTCACGTTGTATGTTCGAGGGGCCTCGTCTGTCCTTTGTGTGGCGGTCTTTTCGGGTATCCGACGCGTGCTCGACGCGGATTCTGCTCGCACTCGGCCTGGATTCGGCGCGGATCCGACGCGGAATGGACGCGGGCTCGGCGCGCGACGTGGCAGGCAGGGCCCCCCGAGCATGCAGCGACAGGTGGGCCCGGGGGTGCCGCGCGCTTCCCCGGCGCCGCTGTGGCTGGCAGCGGTGCCGCCAGCAGCGGCGGCGGCACGCCGCTGCAGACCCCGCCGGCGCCCGGGCTGCAGTCGGCCTCCACAGGTTCGGGGGCAACGATGGGGGGGGAATGGCATAGGGGGGGATGCATCGACCCCCAACCGCCCATTGATCGCTGGGGCCCGATAGCCCCAGCCCGCCCAGGAAGGTGCGGAATCACGATCGGAGGCCTGTCGCCAATACATCGGCGATGAATCGCCGATTCCAGGTCGACGCATCCCCCCCATATGCCAGTCCCCCCCTATCGTTGCCCCTCACAGGTGCAGGGCTGCCGCAGCAGCTGCGCTCCGCCGCGACGGAGGTCAGATTGGGGGGCTGGTCGAGGCGAACAGCGGCCCTCATTGGCGCGTCCTGCGTCCTTGGTGGGCCTCATGGAGGTTTCCTCGTCGCCACGGCTGGATCCACCTCCAGAGTCGGCCGAGGTCCCAGAGATCCAACGCATTGAACAAATCAAGGCGAAACTTTTTCGCAATGTTCGGCCTCTAGGGGCCCTCGCCGGGCCCTGCGACCGTCAAACAACGACTCAGGATGAAAGACCGGTCTTGGGGAATGGGTCGAGACTTCCGGGGACCCCGTCTGGAAAATATCACGACATCGAATCTCTGGGGTTGGACATTGGGAGGGGTCCAGGGGGCGCTCTGGAGCGGATGTGGGCCGGGCGGGGGAGTTGTTGTTGTCTCAATTGGTTTGCCTCCGAGGTGGGCGCGAGGCGGAAAGATGCCGCGGCGATTGTGGAGCACTCGCGCGAGCAAGTCGTGGAATACCACGAAAGAACGGTGGGCGTGCCAGTGCAGCTCATCAGGGAACAGATTCTGGAGGTCCCAGAAATCTCCCACATGGACTTCGTCAGGGAGGTTCCAGTGGAGGAGGTGCGGCAGGTGCCGAAACCCGTGGAGAGGCCTGATGTGCAGCTAGTCGAGAAGGTGATCGAAGTGCCATGGGTAGAGTACCAGGAGCGCATCGTAGAGGTCCCACAGGTGGAGTACCGCGAGATCGTGAGGCAAGCACCGAAATACGAGGTGCGGTACATAGACAAGCCGATCTTAAAGCCGATCTTCGAGTACGTCGAGAAAATCATCGAGGTTCCACACATTGTGCAGCAGGAGCGGGTGATCGAGGTGCCACAGGTGGAATACTGTGAGATCGTGAAGGAGGTGAAGGTGCCCGTGCCCCAGCTGGTGTCGAAGCAGGTTCCCAAGCCGGTGATGAACTACGTCGAAAAGATAATCGAGGAACCGGTGGAATTGCGGCACGAAGTGCCCGTAGAGATCCCCCGCTTCATCCACGTGGAGGCCGTGACGCAGGTGGCCAGGCCAGTGTATGAGGACGTGGTGATGCCGTTTCCACAAGAGAGGTGGACGCCAGAGGCGGGCCAGGCAACCGCCATCGCAGCCAGCTCTGCCACGAGAGCTGTTGTCGCTGCCGCGGAGCTGCCAGCGCAGTCCGTGCATCTGCGGGCAGCTGGTGCACAGCCGCCGACGGCGTCTGTGCAGGCAGCCCGCGCCAGCGAGCAGACCCTGCCTATCCCGCCGCCGGCGCAGCAGGCGCTCCCCGTGATCGTGTCCCGCGACTCCACGACGGGGCCTCAGGCGCTGCAGGGCACCGCTGGCACTCAGATGCTCTGGGGCGGCGTTGAGACGCAGATGCTGCCGAGTGGCCATGGCCCGCAGATTCTACAGGGCTCCCTCGGGAGGCAGATGCTGCCAGTTGCTGCTGGCACGCAGCTGCTCCCAGGCGCCGATGGCACGCAGATTCTACAGGGCACGCAGATGCTGCCAGGCACCGCTGATACGCAGATGCTTCCGGGCGCCGCTGGTACGCAGATGCTGCCAGGCACCGCTGCTACGCAGATGCTTCCAGGCGCCGCTGGCACGCAAATGATGCCAGGCACGCAGATGCTGCAGGACAATGCTGGGACTCAGATGTTACAGGGCTCCCCTGGGACGCAGATGCTGCCAGGCACTCATGATAAGCAGATGCTGATGGGCGCCGCTGGCACGCAGATGTTGCCAGGCACGCAGATGCTGCAGGGCAATGCTGGGACGCAGATACTGCAGGGCTTCTCTGGGACGCAGCTGCAGCAGGCGCTCCCAGTGACCGTGTTCCACGACTCCATGACGGGGCCTGCTGTGCTGCCCATGGCCACGGCGCAGGCGTGCAGCGTGGTCGCTGCCAGGGCCCTCGCCCCAGACGCCTTCCAGCAGATCCCGCCTCCGCTGCCAGAGGTGCTGCCGCCAGGCTTCATGCAGACGGGCGGCGGGGGTACCGCCAGCCTCCTGCAGAGCCCGCCACCGTCGCAGCCGCAAGTGCTGCTGCCGACCATCATGCAGGCGGGCGGTGCGGGTACCGCAGGAGCCATCGCCCCCGACGCCTTCCAGCAGATCTTGCCGCCGCCGCAGCCGCAGACGCTGCCGCCAACCATCATGCAGGGCGTCTCCAGCATGACGGGCCAAGTGGGCTTGCCCATGACGTCGATGCAGGCCGCGCAGTCCACCGGCTTGCAAGGGCAGCAGCAGTCGCCAGGCACTCACCTCCCCGACTCATGCCTGGACCCCCCCCTGGGCTGGATTTCTTCTCTTCTTTCCGCGGGGGGTCCTTCTTCGCGGCGGCCCGTTACACCTTGGACCCCTGGCGGCGCTGTGATTTCTTTCCTTCTTCGCGCGTGCCTTGTCATTGGAGCCCCTGAACCTTCCGATTCGAGTAAAACTTGAGCACACTAGCACAACATACATTTGCTTCTAGAGTGCTGCTGCGTTGCATTAGCAATCTGGACTCTCGCGCTTTTCTTTCCCTGGCTGCGCCAAGTGGGAGTGGAACTCCACGCGCGAGCACCCCCGCGGCTGAGAGTCCACTCCTCTTCGAAAACTTGAGACAAGGTTAACCCCAGTCCTTGACCCCCTCGCCAGGCATTTCTTTTTTCTTCTGCGGGAACCTGACCCCCTGGGTTCGGCGCGCCCAGAGGTTCTTTTCTTCCGAATGGGCCGCCGTGGGTCCTGCGTTTGAGTCGGCCGGATGATCCCAGGCACCGGCCAGGCGGTGATGCCTGCGGCGGAGCAGTTCGCGCACCAGGTGCTGCACGGCACCGCTGGCACTCAGATGCTCCAGGGCGGTGTTGAGACGCAGATGCTGCCCAGCCGCATTGGCACACAGACAGGCTCGCTCGGGACGCAGATGCTGCCAGTTGCTGCTGGTACGCGGATGCTCCCAGGCGCCGATGGCACGCGGATGCTGCCAAGCACCGCTGATACGCAGATGCTTCCAGGCGCCGCTGGCACGCAGATGCTGCCAGGCACCGCTGCTACGCAGATGCTTCCAGGCGCCGCTGGCACGCAAATGATGCCAGGCACGCAGATGCTGCAGGACAATGCTGGGACTCAGATGTTACAGGGCTCCCCTTTGACGCAGATGCTGCCAGGCACTCATGATAAGCAGATGCTGATGGGCGCCACTGGCACGCAGATGTTGCCAGGCACGCAGATGCTGCAGGGCAATGCTGGGACGCAGATGCTACAGGGCTTTTCTGGGACGCGGATGCTGCCAGGCACTGATGCTGAGCAGATGCTTCTGGGCACCGCTGGCACGCAGATCCTGCCGGGCACGCAGGTGCTGCCCAGGAATGTCGGGACGCAGATGCTGCCGGGCGCCAGTGGTACTCAGATGCTTCCGGGCGCCGCTGGCACGCAGATGGTGCCGGGCACGCAGATGTTGCAGGGGCACGCCGGGACGCAGCATGGCTTCCCAGGCACGCAGATGTTGCCAGGCGCTGCTGACACGCAGATGCCGCTGGGCGCCGCTGGCGCGCAGCTGCCGTATGAGAATGCCGGGGCGCCTTTGCAGAATGGCTTCCCCAGGACGCAGATGTTGCCAGGCACCGCTGATACGCAGACGCCTCCGGACGCCGCGGCTGGCACGCAGCTGCTGCTGGGCACGCAGATGATGCCTGGGAATGCCGGGGCTCAGACTTTTCGAAGTGTTTCCGGCAGACCTCCTCCAGAGGTGTCCTCGCTCCAGGCTGTCGTGCCGACGCAGGTGCCTGCCGTGGCCCAACAGCAGGCCGGGCGCCAGGAGCGCCCCGCCGAGGAGCCGAGCGGCCGCGGCTTTTTCGAAGGGCTGTTCACAGGCCTCGCTGGGGCCTGACGCCGCGAAGTGGCTTGGTCCCGTGCGTGCGCGATGGCCGCCCTCTTCGATCAAGAGTCGGGCCTTCGCGGAGTACAGGCAGATGACTGATCCAGGGATCACTGTAGGTTTGGCCGCTGTCGGGCCCGATGGCGGCCAGTGCACGCGAGGAGCGATCGACGGGCAGCGCGTCTCCTGCTTCTCATCCTCCTCTTTTTCCTCATCGGCATGCTATCGGGCACTCCCGTAGCGTCAGTCTCCTCATCCCGCTCAATAGTGAGGAAGAAGCACCCCGACCCCCAGCAATGGCGTGCACGACACAGTCTTGCGCCTCAACTAGACGATCCTGCCCCGTTCGATTCCTCCCCTGGGGGCGTTGAAAAAAGTGGCTGGTGGGTGGTTCTTATGGCCTCTATCCTCTTCTCTCGCCACCATCCTCGTTCGCCTCCTCCTCCTCCACCTCCCTCCTCCTCCTCCTCCCCCTCCTCCTCCCCATCCAGCCTGCTCCTCTCACGCCGCCGTCGGCGGCGCGCGCGCCCCTGCTTTGCCCGCTTCCATCTCGGCGCTCGCCCGTCGCTGCAGGCTGCCACGTCGCAGTTGCATCCCACCTCCACTCGTGTCCCGCCTATCGCGTGGGGTTGGAGCAACAGCTGCTGAGGATCAAGAGATCCCGGAGGCGGGGAAGGAGGAGGAGGAGGAGGAGGAGGAGGAGGAGGAGGAAGAGCGAGAACGATGACGTTGTGTTACCTCCACGCTGCTACAAAAAAAGCGGCATTCGAGAGGCCTTACGGCCAGTTCCGCCGACCTTGAAGGGGGAGAGCAGTGGAGTGTGCTCGTCTCTGATAGTCGGCCCATCTCGCCACCGTGCCTGGGTCGTGGCTCAAAAGCCTCTGAGCTTCGTAGGACCTTTTGGGGGGGCCTGTCAGGACCACTCGCTTTTTTCTAGGGCTTCATTTTCGGCCTGTTGGATTTTCCTGGGTGTCCCTTGGGGGCCCTCGGGGGCTGCCTGGGGGGCACATGGGGAGCCTGCTGGCGGTCTCAGGGGGCATGTGGCAGCGATGCGCGAGGGGGGCAGCTATGTCGTATCCACAAATCGGCTGCGAGCGAGGGGGGGGGAAATGACAAGCTAGGTGCGCTCGCGTCATACCTGACATCCTACCCCTCCCTCCCATCCCTTACCATGGCGTAGATCCCCTCTCTTCTCGCACAGTCGGATGTCGAGCAGGGCAATTATCCCGAAAGGGTACGCGATGCATTGTAGAGCACGGCATGGCATGGCGTAGAAGAGCACCGCAAAGCGTAGTATGTCACAGCATGGCGTGGCGTGGCGTAGTGAAGAATTGCATCACAAAGCTTTGCAACGCAAAGCATGGCATCACACAGCGGCCCCGAACGTGACATTGCATAGCATGGCGTTGAAGATCAAAGCGTAGCATGGCATAGCACGACGTGGCACTTAAGCATTGCATATCACAGCTCCAGCTGAAGGCATGGCATCGCGCAGCGGAACGCAACCTAGCATTGCATTGCATGCCGTGGCATGGCACGGGAAATGACGCCAGCGCTGCAGCGGGAGCACGATTCGGAACGAGCGGAAGCGCGGAAATGAGGCCAGCGCTGCAGCGGGAGCACGATTCGGAACGAGCGGGGCCCGAAAATGAGGCCGGCGCCTCAGCGAGAGCAGCATTTTGACAACAAATGCAGGCGAAAACCCAACTCCGGGGAATCCTGTGTGTAAAAAACAATACGCGGGGGGGGGGGGGGCGAGCACTCCCAACCCGTGATCAGGGGAAGGAGGAGAGTAGTATTCATATGGAGTAATTGTGAAGGAGAAGGCCTCCTCAGAAGGCGGCGGCGGGGTCTCGGAAGGCCCTCGTGCCTTCTGAGAGGTCTTCTGTGCCTTTCGGGAACACCCAGATAACTTTTCAGAAGGCCTCGGACGGGGCAGGGACGAGGATAAATCCGTTCCAGAGCGTTCCGGAAATCTCTCAGAGCGTCCCAGAACGCTCTGAGAAGGCCGCGGCGCCCGAGACATTCTCCAGAGCCGCCGGATCTCATAGATTCTCGATTTCTCTTCACCTGATTCTATCTTCGTCCTCGCTTCGTCTTGAGGCCGGGGGACTTCTGAGCTCTCTGAGAAGGCCCGGCCCGCCCCTGCTCACTTCCCCCCCCAGGGCTCGCCGCCGAAAAAGGGCGCGTGCTCCGAGGCGGGCATTTAGCCACCGCCTGGGGGACCCACCCTCGCGGACTTCCACAGGCGGCGGATATGGATGGATTCAGGCCCCCAGGGCCCAATCGATCTCCACCTCCACCGCCCGCTGGGAGATGGGTAAGTTCCCGCCTCGCACGTGCGGGGCCGCCGCCGCGCTCTCGCGCCGCCCCCCAATCCCGCCAACGTGCGCGGGTCTACCCAGGGTGCTCTTGGGCAGGGCCGCCGCCGCCCGCGCAGCGCCGCCCAGCTCCTCGCGCACACTGCGCTCTCCTGGGCGGGAGGGCTTTCGTCCTCCTCCTTCTCGTCCTCCTCGTCCCCGTCCTCGTCCTCCTCCTCCTCCTCCTCCTCCCTCTCCTCCTCGTCCTCCTCCTCGTCCTCCTCCTCCTCGTCTCCTCTGTCTCCTCCTGGCGCGGCGAAAAAAACATTTTTCCCGCAACGCGTGCCACCCCCAGAGCACCACGTCACGGAGACCATGGGGACAAGGAGGGGCGGCGCGACGACCGAGTGGCCGACCACCGCGCCCCGGGCCCCGCCCAGCCCCCAGGGCGGTCGAGAGTTGTCGCGCCGTGGCCCGGTGGAGAGCCATGCACGCTCAGCTCCCGGCCCCACCGGGCCGTCAGGGCGCTGGCTGTGGCAGGGGCTGCCGCGTCGTCGCCCTGGCCAGAAGGGCCGCCTCGCCCCGGGCCAGCTCGCTCAAGTGCCGGAGGGCTGCCGGCCCGTGGCGGCTTCCAGCGCCAGGGGCACCATGTCCCATGGGGCCGCCCCGAGGGGTAGCGGCGGCGTTTGTCCGCCTCCGCCGCGGCGTTGACCGCGCCGCTGCGCCCGGCCGCCGCCGCCAGGCCGTCGGCGTCCCCTGGCGTGCAGTAGCGCCCCGTCACGTCGAAGTAGAGCCGGGGACGATCCGCCCGCTGCGCCTCGATGTCGAGGATGGCCTCCTCGCGTTTGGGCCGCAGCGCAGCTCCGCAGGCGGCGCAGGGCCCCGCAGGCTGGTCCGCCGTCGCTCCGCCAGCGCTGTAGCCCGGGCAGGTCCAGCGCCAGCGGTCCCAGGCTGGGACGCGGACCTGGCGCTCCACGCGGTACCCGCACTCCGCGTGGATGCGGGCCCAGGCGCGTTCCAGGTCTCCGCTTCGCGCAGTTGTCCCGCCCCCGCGTGCGCAGCGTCAGGCGTGGCGCGCCGTGGCGCCCAGTGGCTCTCCGCAGAGCGCTGGCCTGCCCTTGTTCCAGTTTGCGCGGCGTTGCAGCGGCCCCGCCCCAGTAGCGTCCGCGCGGTGGAGGGAGCAGTATCGTCGGGGAGCTCCTGCGCCTTCGCGCCCGGCGAGGCAGTCTGCCAGGCGCTCGCGCGTGGCCCCCCGCAGGAGCGGAGTAGCGCTCTCTCTTCTGGCCCCAAGGCCTGCAGCAAGGAATTGTAGTTTCTCTGGTCGGTCCTTGCTGTCAGTGTCTTCTCCATGGAGCTTTTGGTGAGGCGCCTGCGCCAAGTCCTACCAGTCGGGAAGCTCGACCGGCTCCGCCGTGCCGCAGGGGCAGTTGGCATTGCGTCCGCTGTGCCTCCGTCAGCGGGTCGAGGCGCGCGTGCTCTTCCTACAGGCTGCTAGCCGGGAGTCGTCGTGCGCCGCGGCAGCCGCCTCCGAGGCCCCGGGCGCGCTGGTGCGCGGGAGGTGCGTGAGTTTGCTAGCGCCGCAGTGTCGCAGCAGCAGCCCGGCGGTCTGGGCGGCGGGCACGCGCGGCGAAGCCGTGGCAGGAGGGCCGCGAGCTTGGCGGGGAACTCCGCCGCTCGCCCCGCCGTCTCCGCGCAGCGCGCCGCCGCGTGGCCAGGCGTGCCGAGGTCGACCCGGCGCGCGTCGCTCTCGTCCGGCAGGCCCGCGACCAGCAGGGCTCTCCCAAAGGAACTCCCAGAGTGAGGCCCTCCGCGCGCCGCTGCTCCTCCAGGCCCGCAGGGCAGGCTGCCCCGCTGGACCGGGCCTGAGTCCTCCGCGGCCCCAGCTCCAGGCCGAGGCCCGCGAGGGCGCCCTGCGCGGCCGCCTGCACCTCGCCCGCGAGCGCCGCGGGCACCAGCGCGACGACGTCGTCCAGGCACGTAATGTCCAAAATCGGTTTAAAAATGATGACCCCCCCCCGGATCCCGACTGCCATTAATTCGCATCCAGATAACTATTTGTTTTATCTGCCCCCGGGAAAATTCCATGGATGCCGATCGATGCCACTTGTATACACCTCGGTACCAGGGAGAATTCCAATGGGGATGTTCCCGTCTTCCGATCAGAGAATGTTTTTTTTTTACATTGGGTCTTTGCCATTGGGTTTAGGAATTCAACATTGCTCCCGTGATATAAGATCTATCAGCGGCATGCCGCCGCCGCGCGTTGGCGATTGGCATTTGTGCATTCAGTGTCGTATACCCACATGGGGATGCCCCCGTCTTCCGATCAGAGAATGAATTGTTACATGGGGCTTTCGCAATTTGATATTGAATCTCAACCTCGCTCCAGTTGTATAACATCGGTCAGCGGCACGTCGCCGCCGCGCGCGCGCGTTGGCGATTGGAATTTGCGCATTCAGTGTCGCATATCCACGCGAGGATGTTCCCATCTTCCGATCAGAGAATGAATTTTTTCATGGGGTTTTCGCCATTGGGTTTTGGAGTTCAACATGGCTCCCGTTTTATAAAATTCTATCAGCGGCGCGTCGCCGCCGCCGCCGCCGCCGGAGCGCGCGTCGGCGATTGGCACGCGTGCATTCCGCGTCGTATATGCACACGGGGATGTCCCCGTCTTCCGATCAGAAAATGAATTTTTACATTGAGTTTTTGCCA